GAAAGAGGCCACCACCACGCCCTGTGGCAAGGCTCATGGTGGCGATCAAGAGGACAAAGAGGTGTTTGGCTAATTACATCCGCACGTTCATTGGCTCATGTGAGGAAGAGTCATCAGCACTTGTTGTGGTGCCATCATCAAGGACAAGGCCTAGTAGATGGAAGAGTAGTCATGTGATGAAGAGGAACAAGAAAAAGTTGGTGGTGGCTAAGCAAGAGAGGCTATTGCTCACAAATGGAAGTCCTACTGTGGTGCCTGCTCTTGATGCTTTCACTAGTCCTAATCCTATGGTTTACCATTTCCAAAAGGAAGTTGATGATGATGATGTTGATGTTGATGTTGATGTTGATGATGATGATGGGTACTGGTCATCAGCTGCTACTGAAGAAATCAGGTGGGATACCATGTTCCAGGATCTCAAGCCAAATTGATGAAAATTGAAAATCAAAACTTTTCATTTTTCTAATTTGGATCTCTTTTTCGGGGTTAACTCTATTATCCCTCATTTTTAATTGCTTGGTGAGAGATGGGTTTTTTGGGTTCTTCCACCACATACTTTTGTTGCTGCTTTTTATTTATTTATTTATTCATTAGTGGTGTGGGTCACGCGGATGGATAACTTTAGCATGCACCCGTCTGCTTCGGTAATGAGATTGTCTACTTTGCTTTTGTATGTTCATGTCATGCCCTTTAGCTTTTTTGATAGGGGAAAAATTTGTATTGGATTAGCGTGTTTATGGGGGGAGAATGATTTGAGGTAGATGTTAGTTATGTTACTGTAGCAACTTTGAAGCCCCAAACAGTTTGGCTTGACTTGGGTTTGTGCAATGTAATGTCTTCTTGTTGACAATACACATTAACAAAGTATATTTAATACTTGATACTTACTACTTGGCAATGATTATGGTCTTTGAAGTTTGAATCCTTGATTCATCGAGCCTTTCTCCCAATCAGCAAATAATTATTTTACTTGATTCTCGTCTGAACCGTGCAACGATGGAGGTGCCCCGCGCCCTACGCATGTAACAAAATACTGTCCATTTCTTTACTCAAAGTGGTGACAATAGATTAGACTCTAACTTCTGAAATGGTGCCACTTCTTTATGGATGAAAATAACAAAGGCTAGCTTAGGCTTTGCATATATTGATTAGATGTATTTTACAAAATTAAAATATAACTCTGATTTATTATTTATTATAAATTTTTTTTATATGTTTTATCTTATCTTTTTAAAGTCTAACTTTATCTATTAGTCTATTTAAAATATATTTTATATTAATAATATTAATTAGGACAATAAATTTAATTTTTAAAATTCATCAAATTTATTTTTAAATATGTCATTACAAGTTATTTTTTAATTTGTGTGATAAAATATAATTTGCTTAATATTATTAAATTTTAAAATTTGAAATATATAAAATGTCACAAAAAGAGAAAAGTTAATATTTTTTTTAGATAAATAATTCATGTTTAATCATATATACTAGCATACAATCACACATAAACTGTAAGCCTATAAATTTATAATGAAACGTATAAAAAATATTTTAAATATTTTCTATATGTAATTTGATATATTCTAAATAATTGACTCATATTTTAACAAATTAAAATAATTATGATAACAAACTAAAAAAATATTATTGTATATGAGATAATTTCAAGATAATCTCATTCAAATAATATATGTATATTAATTTTTTACTATATTATATAGATAAATAGATTAGTTTATCAAGTTTAACAGTCTTTTATATAAGTCTAAACTCATTCTTTTAAAATAAATTGTCTAAACTTGATATTTTTATTAAGCAATTCAGATTAGACTTTAAAGAAATCAAACCATAAATTTTTATTTAAAATCTGACCTATTTTCATCCCACACTTCATTAACCAATTTAGAAATACCATGTTTCGGTGAACACTAAAGACCCTGATTTTGTTGGTATAATTATTATGAGTTAATCAACTATACACTGTTAGTGTAAAATTTTTTTATACTGACAACCAATTATATCTTTTAATTATGCCATGTCACTATAAACATATTTATTTTTAACAGTGACATAGAACAATTAAAAAATATAATTGATTCCTAGTATAAAAAACCTTTACACTGACAGTGTATAAGTGATTAACTCAATTATTATAGTCTAGCATTTACTTCCATGTTAAGAAGAGGTTACCTTTTTTTTCTTTTTTCTTTTTCTTTAGACTTGGCAATCACGGGCTTAGCAATAACAATGAATGTCCGCTAAAGCAAATGAGACAAGGAATATAGCAATTCAGCTTGTATCAATCACAACCCTTCCAGAGCATATTTTGCTTCAACAACTTTAATTTGAAAGAATTAAGCTCCATGCCATTCAATCCGATAAACCGATTTGAATGAGTGAAACTTAAATTTGATTTGAACTGCTTAAAAAATAGAATACACAAAATAAAGGCATTGTATATTGATTCGCTTGTATGTCTAATGTCTTGATCCTGCGAGCACAACTTCTGAAATTGCCAGTTAGTGATCTAACATGTGACAATCCGACGTGGCAACCCCAAGGTATATATCAGTCTTCCCTCACCTAATGAGTCCTACATTAACACTTATTATAAGGATGGTTTGATCCAATTAAAGAGATATTATCTCCTAAAAAGATTTTAAGCACTTATTGGTTATATCCCTTTGTCTTGACATATCTATGTTGCGTCACACCAAGCACCATAATAGGATAATAGGATCAATTATAACCATTGATCCTGAATAAAACAAAGACAATATATAGAAAAATCAAATTCATCTCATCAAAACTAAGCGAGCAACAATTATAAAGCTAAAATGAAATAGAATAATGTAAACAATAATTGAAACAATTTTCCACTAATACAGCCCAATCATGATTATTACCTTGACAAATGCTAAGAGTATATACAAATGGACAGAGTTCATGGTATGGTACTTCATAACTAGGCTTTTATCTACATCTAATAATTGCTCATATAAATAGAAACAGAATGTTTGGCGGCAACTTCTGGCCGAAACAAAAAGGTCTGCATGTTACTGTAAGGAACATTAATTGGAGGTCAAGCAATTCTCCCAAGTTCCATACTTGGAGCTGAAGCTTCCTCCACCACTCTTTTGAGCATGCTCAGAAATAGCATTGCGAGCACAAACATCCCAAGTCCTAGCTATCTCCCCAAGTGACATAGGTTGTGATAAACTGCGTAAAGATGAGCTAAACCTTGACTTTGCCTTCACTGAAAGATCTTCACTCTCCTTACTGTAAGAATAGAATGACAAACGCAATGAGCATAATATTTCTGAATTCCGTGCAATGAGCATGGTCTCTATATCTATATATATGAGATAGATGCAAGCCTAAAAATATTAATGCATAAGAATTGGTGATTGAGAGACTTAAAAGCAGAATAAAGAAATGATATGGTACATCAATAAAAGCATATAGATACAGAACGATATTAGTTAAGAGGTATCTTCAGACTCAATATGGTTAGGGGGTAAAATTGGGAGTAAATATATTCATGGACAAGTTTTAAATATAATTTTGCAAAAAAAATAAATCCATGAATTTTCACCTTTATTTTTAACCCTCATATCAAACATAATCAGCTTTAACCTTTAAATACTCAGTCTGATATAATCCTACAAATGTTTCATGCATGAAATAAACAAGACTACTAGAGTCATGATTATGGAAGTTTTTTAAAGGATATGAATATTTTCCCTTTCTGTTGATAAAGCAAAACACCAATGTACCATCAACATTGTTGTTTTGAGAAGAATACGTAGTTTTTGTTGGAGGGCTTTTACATTGCTCCCAAAAATTTTCATTTTTTATTTTTTGGTGTAGATTGCTCCCAAAATTTAGGCACAAGAACGGTCCATACTTATCCTTTTTATATTATAAAATATTTATTTTTTCATTAAATAATATAAAATAGACAACTCTGATTTATGGATCACGCATGGTCCCCAAGTTTTTTAGATCATTTAAGTCATTGCCTTCAAAAATTTATAACACGAGATACAAAAATGCTGCTCATTATCTCACCTGGATTCAACTGGAAATTTGTCTAGGAGTATGGGAGAACAATTAGGATAATTTGCAGGAACCAGCAAACGCAGGGGTTGAATAGGTGACTGTACAGTAAGAAAACACAAATAAGGCTATAAGCAAATAAATAAGCGAAATAAAATATAAAAGCTTTAAAAGGGTCGTAGTTGTTAGATCTCAGAAGTGGGAATCCACCATCTGGGCTGAAGCATATTGGGATTTTAAGCTAGGGCTGAGAGCCACAGCAATGAAAGAGCATTTGACAATGATCCCTTCTGCACCTTCAGCAGCAGCAACAGCAGCTGTTGGATCAAAAACATCTTCATCGCTTATGTCCACTACTGTGTCAATAAGTTGGTGATTGATCTCCCTTATTTCTTCCAAAAGGGCATGATTAACCTACCAAATAAGTCATAAAAATTCCATATCAGAAATCATTCAAATGAAAGACCAATACAGCAGATAAATTACATGGTAACTCTAGGGAAAATCCAGCAATTATGTGGTTTCCTAGCAATAGTAACTTTGAATGTCTTTTAAAACTTATAATCCGATGAAACATCATGCTCTCATAAAACACAAACAGATTTTACTAAGTATCCAAATCAAATTAAATTCTAGTCAGTCATCATCAAATGATGAATCTAATGGAAGGCCCACGTGCTACATGATTACATCAACAACTTAAATAATATTACATGGGTTACTCACACCAACAATAGGTTCTAAGCTTTTAAGCTTATGCCATACTTGGTCGTTGTTACTAAATGTGGTGGATAAAGACTGTAAGAAAACATGAGACAAACTAATGTAGTACATGCATCAACTTGACCACTAAATAATTTCTTATTGACATACAACTACTCTTATAATTGTCTATCTTGATTGGTTGTTATTATTTATATTTTACTAATTGGTAATTTCTACATCATTTAGAAACATTTAATAAGATTAGGACTACTACTGAGGAGTAACACCTACTGAGGAGATAATGACAAACTAGCCTACGATGGTTTTGTTGTGGGAGGTGAAAGACCAATAGAGGCTCTAGAAGAAAAATGGATCAAATGAATGGGTAGAGTGAAAGACAGAATGATTTTAGCAAAACCATTATAACCAATCCCACAGAGTGGGTTATTGAATCTTTGAAAGGCTGTTTTACTAGATTAAATAGTCCAATTTCAACAAAAACAAATCTCTAATTTAATAGTTGTCTCAAATATTTGACTAAACATGCAAATACAAAAGAAAAGACACAAATTTTTCCCCATTTTCTACACATTTAATACTAAGGCATGCAAAATTGCAAATAACTCGTGTTTTAGTAGAATACAAGTATACGACAAGTCAAATTGAATTATTAAATTACATCTTTCTTCCTTTCTCCCCTTTTCCCACTCCAATACCCTATGTTATGCTACTACTATTAGGCGTGTTTGAAGTTCAGGGATCAAAATCTGTAGTCTGGTTCATGTGGTTAGCCGGAATCACAAGTACACTTCATGAATTCCAAGTTCTGTGTCCACTGTCTAAATGAGAAAATAAAATTGCAACTTCGTACACTCGCTTTTCTAAATTTAACTGACTTTTTTTTTCCTTTGTGCAGTTTTTCATAATCAGAAATAGAAAAACACTTGCACTTTTAGTCAGGCAAGGCAGTAGATTAAATAAAAAGTTGTGCAGAAGTAGTGTAGATAACATGTCAATGAATCTATAATTCATGTGTACAAATCCATTGTAAATCACAATGCATCTATAATCACAAGGAACAAAGATCATTGACAGAAAAAGATGTCAATTATAAAATAAAATATAACAGTTAAAAACATACAATTTATTACCTCAATCTTTGGTTTCTTGACACTGGATGTTGCAGTTGACTCCAGATCAGAAGTCTCAGAAGCAGTTATGTGCTTGATACTATCATGCATGCTACCAGCAGATGATACAGCATTCAACGGTATAGCACTGATGTAACGTTTCATCCTCTTAATTCCATTGGAACCATCTTGAGTAATGAAATTTCTAGCCTGAAGACGACAATTAGTCATGGAAACCAAGTCTTCACCAACAGCTGCTCTGGATCCATTACCTGGAGCTGATCCTGCTATTCTATCATTCATGACGACAACTGAACCAATATCCCTGACCGCAGCACTTAATGTTTTAGAAGAAATTGATTTCACCTAAAATCATGATTTAGACATAAATGTCATGTATAATTCCAAGAATATAGCAATAAAATAATTAAAGGAACCTTTTCACTCTTTAATTTTTCAAATCCAGTCAAAATTTAGGTACACATCTGATCAAGCTAGCATCATATAAGCATATATACTAACCACATTAATTAAGTGTTCAACAGGCTGCACTGTAACAGTTGACTTCCCAGAAGTGGTGGCTAAAGTATTACCATGCACACCATCTGAACCACTGAATTCTGCCAATAAAGGAGAGGCTGATATCCCAGGAGTCCCAATGGCAAGTGATTGACCTGGTGCTACTGCACCCCCTGTTTGTTGATGTCCAATATTTGCAGCATTTGATATTGATGAAACACAAGGAATGGACTTCTCAGATTCTCCTGGCATAGGAAATGGAGCCAAAGGAGGTGAAGGGGTAGGTCCCACAAAGGGTGAATTAGAAGATTGCAGAGGAGTTCCAACTTTTGTTTTAGATGGGAGATGATTTTGCTGGTCAAACTGGGGAGATGAGTGTTGCTGAACCTGAGGAGATGCAGCCTGAAGCAGTTGTGGTGATGAAACAGGAAATGCACTCCCTTGTTTCAGCTGTTGATGGGAATACGTTGAGTGTTGACCCGACGCAAGATGTTGCTGAAAGACTCCTGGTTTAACAACCATTCCTTGTCGCATTTTTATATCATTTATATCATTCATTTGGTGAAGCTGAGACATTTGATGTGTCTGCAATTGCCCAGATAGCTGTGGCTTTGCTGCATGGTGTAGTTGCTGCTGCTGCTGCTGCAGGAGCTGCCTCTGCATCAATTGTTGTCGCTGCTGATATTGTTGTTTAAATTGTTGACTCTGCAGCATCTGCTGTTCCTGCTGAAGCTTCAGTTGGTGTTGAAGTGCACTAGAACCTGACTGAAGGGCATTTGGTTGAATCACGTTTGCCCCACCTTGCGATGATAAGGAATTATTGTTAGTCTGTTGAGCAGTAGTAGCAGGGTTTTGTTGGAGGGAGCTCATTGGAACCTGTTGAAGGGAGTTCACAGAATTTACTTGTCCAGAATCTAAATTAGTTCCAGGTTGCATTGAATTCATCATATTCTGTTGTCCCGTTGATACACTAGACAAAGAATTGTGCTGCAAGCTTGCAATGTTATTCTGTTGCATGGTTGGTACAGAACCTTGTAAATTTGTTGACTGCATCTGAGAGTTCATTTGATTTTCATGAGACTGTACTTGAGTAACTTGAGATTGTGGCTGTTGGATGGAGGACATATGAGTTGGGGGAAGCTGTCCTAGCTGCACTGAAGACATGCCTTTCCTGGGTCTATTTGAATTTATGAGATTTATAATCTGCTTCTCATATGATCCCAGTTTTTCCTTGAAATTAGGTAAAATGTTGTTCTTGGGAATCTGTAGGATTTCCATCATACGCTCCAACATCATTTTATATGCCCTCAGCTTTTCAATCTGCTCTGACTTCGGCTGTTGGGGAAGAGAATCGTGCTGATAAAAAAGGCGGATGTATGATTAGATAGAGGAAAAGCAAACACAAAATAGGAAAAGCAAACACAAAATAGATTAATTTACGAATAAATCCTGCAGAGTACAGAAAATAAATATTACACACTTTCTGGATTCCCACGATATTAAATACTTTTGCATTATTGTTGATATTTTTTATTTTAATTCCTGCACATCTAATAAATTATAAGAAAATACTTGGGAATAAAGTGTTGCACTCTATTTAAGAATGGGCTAAAGGCTTGATAGTATTTATTGCTTCACACAGGCTGCAAATTCTAGTACTTACCATGATGATTGCCATGGAAAAATATGCTTCATCAATAGCATCTGTTAAAGGGTATATTTGCCTTATATTTAGGGAAAATTGATTTTGGAAATATTAGGATTAAAAAAAATATTGATGAATTTAAAAGAACTGATTTTATTTGGATGGTAAAGTAGAATCACTTTTGAACCAATTTTAATAATTTTACACTAATATTCATTTACTCTTAACTACTTGATGCAATCCTGAAACACATGATAACAAATAACAGGGAAAATGGATAAATAATGGAAAACAAGTAATGTATTATTTCTGGTATAGAAGGAAAATGCAGAGGAAGGCATATCCCTACTGCCCACCGAGCTAAGCTACTTGGGAGAATAGACATTTCTCTATCCCTAACTGAAAATTGTTCACCCTACAGGTCTACACGACCTCCCATATAATAGAATCCCTGTCACACAATTTGCTCATCCATTTCTCTCTCTGCCACCTCATCACTCTTCCCCTGCCTCTTCTTATTTTTCCTATCAGACTCTTCACACTGGGCTTATGTTACTGATGTGCAATCTGACCCATTGAGTCCATATCCACATTTAAAGTCCTAACAACTTGTAAGGTAAAGTTAACCATATTCACACATGTGGCTAACCACATGTAATGGGTGGAGAATCCCAGAAGTATTGTTAAAAAAAATTCATCCTTATCAACACTAATCATTTCTGCTAGAAACTTCCTTTTAAGCAACATGAAAAATTACCAACAAAGCCTACTGTAGAACTCAATTCTTTTGGCTGGGAAATTGTTTTTTGCATAAAACAGGTCGACAATTAACAAGTCAAAAAGTAATTGTAACTATACCTTCTGCAGTTTGTTAGCAATTTTTTGGTACATTTCATTCATCTCTGGCAGGTAACTTTCTTTCATGGTTTGGAGCTGTAGATTGAAATCAGCAAATCAAATATCAGAACATTAGTAACCTTGAGGTTTTGCATGGTCTGTATGTGTAGGTTGAAATTAGCAGAATCAAATAATTAAAATATCAGTAACTCAGATCTCTCATGCGAAAACATCTTCATCACTACTTAACACTAACAGAGATAATAACAAGAAGTTTGTTTTCCTGTTTATTGTAGGGCATAATAAATGACAAGTTTCACTATAGCAATACTGTACAAATCAATACAGCATCAGATGAATAATTACAAAGAGTCTTTCTTAATGGCAGGTTGGCAGCAACTAAAAGAGGATAAAAAGGATAGTGACAAAAGAAAAATCACTTAACATTAATGTAAAACTTGAACAAGAAAATGTCTGCGTATTATTTCTGAATAAATTATAGTACTGCTGCTATTTACGATATAAATAGACTGATTCTAATAAAGTTAACCTGGTTTACAAACAAACAAAAAATGAGCTAATTATGCAACAGAACACTTACCCTCAAGCTAGCAAATGAATAAATTATAGAACTTCTATTTACGATATATATAGACTGATTCTAATAAAGTTAACCTGGTTTACAAACAAACAAAAAATGAGCTAATTATGCAACAGAACACTTACCCTCAAGCTAGCAAATGAATAAATTATAGAACTTCTATTTACGATATATATAGACTGATTCTAATAAAGTTAACCTGGTTTACAAACAAACAAAAAATGAGCTAATTATGCAACAGAACACTTACCCTCAAGCTAGCAAATGAATAAATTATAGAACTTCTATTTACGATATATATAGACTGATTCTAATAAAGTTAACCTGGTTTACAAACAAACAAAAAATGAGCTAATTATGCAACAGAACACTTACCCTCAAGCTAGCAAATGAATAAATTATAGAACTTCTATTTACGATATATATAGACTGATTCTAATAAAGTTAACCTGGTTTACAAACAAACAAAAAATGAGCTAATTATGCAACAGAACACTTACCCTCAAGCTAGCAAATGAATAAATTATAGAACTTCTATTTACGATATATATAGACTGATTCTAATAAAGTTAACCTGGTTTACAAACAAACAAAAAATGAGCTAATTATGCAACAGAACAATTACCCTCAAGCTAGGAAATGAATATCTATCACTGCTAATTTGCTAGTATGTTCTTGGAACAGCTTTGTGGGAAGTCTCTTGGTCAGTACATTTAAAATTAACACCCTACATATGCTATAGCTGTAAGACCATTATCCAGTTCCTTCTTGATTAAGTGTTAGTCAATCATTACATGCTATATTCAATCATATTGAATTAAGTTGTATGCAATACTAATGGCTGACTTGTTGGAGAAACAACTATATAAAGATTAAAAAAAAAAAGCTAATAAAAGCTGATCTATTGGAGAATAAAACAGCCAATAAGAGCAAAAAAATTGGAGGTGTACACTATGAAGGCAGTCTAGGGTTCTGAGAAAGGAAGTACTGTCTCCCAGTCCAAAGATTGAAAGCTCTTATACCAACTTTAAAGAGAAAATATCTGAATATTATTTGATTATAGTACAAACAATAACTAATTATTTTTGAATAGAAGTACAATTACTAATTATAATATATGTAACATAGGATTTGAAGGGAATTAAGTCTATCCTAATATGTCCTAATTACAGAAATTAGGGAAATCTGCGCAAATAAAAGTGATAAGAAAAATGGCATTGTACCTTCTGGTACACTTCTTCTTGCCAATCTACCCCACTTGGTTGTGCAGTCTGTGTTGTAGAATCCAGAGAAGCTACAATAGGTATATAATGAAATATGCATGTACAATGCTCAGAATGTGGAAGAGAACTCGCATTTGCTATTATAGCTACTATTATTTCCGAAAAAAATATAATGACAGGGAAATACATGGATGCAAGTACATACTTGCTGACGTTTCTGGAAGAGTTCTTTGAGATTGATATAACTGTTTTTGTTGATCAAGAACATTTTGTTGTTGAAGCAAGGACCCTGATGCTTGAATTCTTTGCTGCATATCTCGTTGTGAGGGATTTGGCTGCTGCTGCAAACCCAAGTGCTGTTGCAACTGTGCTGGCTGAGTGTGAATCTGTGACATTAATTGTTGTTGTGAACCCAATGGCTGTGACTGCTGTACATGAGGTAGCAACAAATTTGATGTATTTTGTTGTGATTGTTGCTGCATTTGAACCTTTGATTGTTGCAGCATGTGTGCAGAGTGATGACTTGTTTGCATCTCTGTGTTGCCAGAATCATGTCCAAGCAAATGTTGCTGCTGTAACCCAGGGCCATTGTTTCCCAATTGTTGATGTATATTAGATGGATTGTTTTGCTGATTTATTAACTGTTGCTGTCGCTGTTGCATGTTCGCAAGATTATTCTGTTGTGAAAGCATCCTCTGTGATTGCTGTATATCACCAACATTGTTCTGTTGCCCAAGCATCTGCGCATGTTGCATGTTTGTCGTATTTGACTGAGGCCCCATAAGCTGTTGTTGCTGTTGAGTCACCGGTGTTTGTTGTTGATGCCTGATAACTTGTGAATGTTGCTGCTGCATGGACTGCGTTGACTGTTGAACATTAGTAGACTGCTGATTCTGTGGAAGGCTAGGTAGAGAAGGTGTTTGCATCATGGAGGGCTGCATAACAGATGAAGTTTGCATAACAGATTGCTGAGAAGATTGCAACTGATTTGGTTGCAGAAGGTTTTGTTGTTGCTGCTGCTGCTGCTGCATCTGAGATTGCAAGTGGAGCTTCTGCTTCAAAAGCTGCTGGTTGTAAAGATATTGTTGTTGATTCTGTGCTTGCAGCTGTTGTTGTGGGGAAGCAATCTGCTGCCTTCCTGGCATTTGTCTCTGAGAACCAGCAAACATATTCTGTAAGTTGGAATTTTGGCTAATAGTGCTCCCAACTGAATTTGGCCCAGGTATATTCTGTATGTTGGAATTCTGGACAATATTTTGGCTGGGAGTCAGGGATAGACTAGATACAGGTGCAAGGTTAGGTTGAGACGCAACATTAGTTTGAATGTTTTGAGATAGAAGCTGCTGATGTGGCTGGAGCTGATTAGGCAAAGGAATAGAATGTTGTTGCCCATGATTTTGAACTTGAGGCTGCAAAACAAGTCCTATGAAAAAATTTGTTTGCCTGGGTGAGAAGAAAAAAAATATTGATCACAATATAACATGAGTATGATACGATTTTAATAACATATGGAGAATGTGAACATAAAATTTCAGAAGAAAGAAATAAAATTAGACAAAGGACAAGGATAATATAATGGCCAATACAGCAAAAACTTTATTCATTTATTATATTTCAAGCCAAAGGATACTGTATAGTCTCAATATCGTCAGCTTACAAATATGAACAGTTCAAAAAATCAGGATAATTACGAAAACAACAGGATGACAAAATTTAATCAAATATACAACGGTAAAGTGTATTTGGCTCCCTTAAATTTTGGGGCATTTGCAAAATGTAAAGTTACATGATGAACATTAAAGTCATCTCAATCAGTCCTTAAATTTTAACTACTACTCCAGTCGATAACTACTTTTATGCTTGACTAAATATTTAACAGAAAGCCATGTGGAAAAATATCAACCATCCACTCAGTAATTTATTGTTTTAAGTTCAATTTTATCTAATTTCAGTAATTTCCATTACTAAAAATAATACCAAATTCGAAAATAAATAAATAACTACAAAGAGAATGGTTTTCTTCCGCACTGATCAATGAAAATCATCATATCAAAGTCAATGTTCACTTTCTCATCATCAAAAACTGATTAAGTTTTATCTTCCACATCCGTTGAATCCCAACAATTGTAACTACTAACGACTTAAACATCATATAGCAGCAAAATTTTGTTATAAATACATGCCTTTTTAGCTTCTTGTGTGATCATTTGTATTTGTTGGCAAGATTATCAATAACAAATAACGGTCTAAGACAGTGAGCCAAAAATCTGCTATAAACATATGGGGATGGCATGGCAGTTTATGGCAGACAAAAGTATTATATATAAAACAAAAAAATAGTTTTTGGATGCATGACTTTAATGTTGGGTGTGTATTGCTTAACATTGTGCTATAAGTAAAATAGAATCGGGAACCATAGTAGTTAATAGCGGCCTTTGGAGCGGAGCAGCCTGACCCCGCAATCTTGCTGCTGTTGCGTGGCGGATGTGTGTCGCGGCGCGGAGCAGAGCGGCGAAAAATCGCGGAATCGCGGCGCGATTTCGACATACCCTTCATTAAGGGTAAGTCTGTCTTTTCAATTGGGCTTTTTTTGCCCTAATGCTCCCCTCTCCCTCTCGCGGAACCACTTGGTTTCTCAATTCTCGCACTCCCTCTCCTCTCTCTCTCAGATGATTGTTTCTTCTCTCTCGAGGACGATCGTGGACGTGCAGTCCTCCAGTTCCGCGACGAACTCCAGCTCCGACGCGCCTCCAGCTCCGACGTGCCTCCAGCTCCGACACGCCTCACTTCGCTCATCGTCTGTCTTCTGTTCTTAAGTCTTCTCTCTTTTTAGTTTATGCAACAGAATTTTATTTTTAATTTTCTATTAAATTTAATTCAGCAAATTTTATTTTTAATTTCTGATTAAATTTAATTCAGCAAATTTTATTTTTAATTTCTGATTAAATTTCATTCAGCTGATTTTATTTTTAATTTCTGATTAAATTTAATTCAGCAAATTTTATTTTTAATTTCTGATTAAATTTAATTTAGCATATTATTAAAAATGTTTAATGCATGAATTTAGAGTTATTTTTTGTTTTTTTAGCTTTTATATATATATTATTAATTATTTAATATATATGAATTAATATTAAAATAGCGGTTATCCCGCTCCGTGTCATCCTGCTATCCCATTTTTAGGGTCGACCGCTCCGCTCCGCTATCCGGGATTGACTACTATGTCGGGAACAACATTATAGGTTTAATAAAGAAAATAACATAACTGAGAACATGATAATGAAATTCTAAAAAATGGAGAACTAAATTCCAAAATTTTGAAAAACCAGAGCACAAAAACATTGAACAGATGAAGAACAAGAACAGTCACATAGAGAATAAGAGAGAAAGGGATTAGGAACATTTGAAGAAATGATGAAAAGATGAAAAACAAACAAAAAAAAAGAAAGAAATGGAAGGAAGAAGAAAAGAAAAACAAAAGGAACTATTATGGGTTGCCGAATTTGTTTTCCGGAAAATTTTCCAAAGCTCAAGCCGCCATGGTTTAGGTTACCAGCAAGGGTGGTGGCCTAAGAAGGCTTACCAAAGTTGTTTGGTTGCAACTTAGGAGATTCACAAAAGAGAAGACGAGAAAAGAATAAAAAAAAGGACGAGAAGTTCCACCATAAGCACAACAAAACCATGGCCATGGTGGATATGGCAGACACTGCCATATAACAGGAAATAATGGATAGTGAATGGCAGAGGGATTCAAAATCAAAATCGCCACATTATACCTTTGTGGCAGCGTCATAACGGTTATTTGATAACATTGTTTTTTGGTACATTCTTCAGTGACACAAGGTGGCATTGGCTGCAACATGCTGCAGTCACTCTAAGGTTTGATTGAGTTGGAGCACTGTGCTTCGTGGTGTAAGGATATAGAAACAAAATGAGGATTTTACTCTCTGTGAAGTACAGAAGCATTGACAATGAGATCCTCCAGCAAGTCAAACAAATTGATTTTAATTTTTGTAAGCTAAACTTTGCATATTGGTCACAAATTTCCTGCTATCAAGCTTTGCATTTTGTAAGTTAGAAAAGTAGAATTTAAATACATTAAAAAAGGCACCAATTACATAGAAATGGAGGACTTCAAATTTGCTACATGGCACGTCCGTTAAGGATTTAATAAAAGGTTAAATGGAAAGATCTAAAAGATTAATGACAAAAATTTAGGGAATAATTGAGACAACTTTAAAGATCGTGGTAGTAGTTTTCAAATGCCCCAAAGTTCAGGAGAGCTGAATACACTGTTTCCAATATTTATACACAAATAATTAGGATTTGACACTTTGGTACCATATCATAATATAATCACCAAATCAAGGCTATTAAATGCTAACCTTGATCAGGAGGTTTATTGCTAGGGCCAACTTGATTTGGTGGCATATTGCTACCCAAGGTATTTTGGGATTTATTTTCCATTGTAAGCATCTTTAAAGATATTTTCCGAAGATAATCAGGCTGCAAAGAGGGAACACCAATGCTGTCTCAAGCCATCAATCTTTTTAACTGTATACATTTCCATAGGTAACCATAAATGAAATGGAGGCTCCTCAATTCTCAAAATGAATGTACCTGGCTTATAGCAGCAGTAAAAATCTTGTCTTCAAACCTTTGAGCAATCTTCCGAAGTTCATGCAATCCATCAGGACCAGAAACAGGAAGATGTTTTTTTAATGTGTCCATTCTACAAAACAAAACAAAAATAGTTTCATACTTAGAAATGCAAGCGATGGATATGTTAAGAATATCAGTCAATCCTTAAAAGACAGACATGATTAGCTGTAAAAAGTTGATGAAATCATCAGAGAAACACCCTACCCGGGACCCACCAAACTCACAAGAGCAATAGTAGGATTAATGGGTTACCATGATGATCTTAATAACATCTTCTCAGGATATAAGGTATTTAGCAACAATCACCTTCCACCCAATGTTTCTAAATATCCATCTGTGACCAAAATTGGAGGAACCAAATGCAAAATCCTAAAGTGGTACACTCAAAGACAGATTTTTTGTTTAATTATAATGGCACTACTCTCTAAGACTCTAACCAAAAGCTCCAAAGTCTTACAAATACATCAAACTCGCAAAACATTGTTCTCCCTTCTCTTTCCAAATATCCAAAATAAATGAAAGAGAAGTGCAAAGGAGGACAAACCAAATGCTCACCAATCGAAGAATGTTTATTCTAAGAAGTTGTGCAATGCAACACCAAACAATTAGTATAGTAAATTGTAAACAATAATAATAAAATTAACATCCAATTACAATCATACTAAAACTTGTGCATGGAACTTGAATACAACATTAAAATTCAATATAGTAGTGATTCAAATTAACAACATTCATTTGGCAAAAGATAATGAATATATTTGACTATTGTTGTTCAGATATCAAATACAATTTGGAGCAAAGTTGTGTACTTCAAAAGAATAAGAAAATTACACAGAAAGGTGTTGTTTGTCTCATGTTTGTTTTAGTTCTTCCACCACTTTGTATTTCTATTTTCTTGGATAAAATTGCTTCTCTACATGGCAAACCAATATTTTAAATCCTAGATAGCAGCACGTAGCAGCTAGCCCCAAAAACGGTATAAATTCTCTTAAATGATAACCCTGTGGCAGTATAATGCACTATTTATAACCCTTTGGCTAAAAAAGCAAACCATTTTGGAAATGTTGTCAATTTTAAGATAAAGTATTCACTTATTAAATTTATTTTGACATGCAACAACCAGTAAAAAAAACACTTGTATCCAAATAACCTCAGTGATACAGTATTGAAATTGAAGCTTACATTTTGTTGACAATTCTTTGGCGTGCTTCAGGTGGTAATTGAGCTCTCCAATCACTTGTATCCATAGTGGGGTTAGTTCCTTGATTAGTTCTCCAATTACTGGAATCCATCAAATTCAAACTCCCTGGAGCACCTATACAAGAATGTTCTAATCAAATCAGATTTTAAAAGGAAAACATGTAAAGGGGGGACATATACATACAAGAGAAATTATATATCTCCACTGTTGCTATGGCTTGCTAGTAACATGCTCGCTCCTTTCAATTTCCAAAACCTCTGAGGTTAATCAACATGAACTATAGACCCAGAAGAAATAAGGCACATTTGGAAGAGTTTCCATGAGTTTATTTGGACTTATTTAATCATCAAACATTTTACAGGTGTTTGGTTAAGTGTACAAAAGTGACTTATAAATACTTTTAGCTTATTTCAATAAGTTTCACTGTAAAACTTATCAAATCAAGTATATAAAAATAAACATATTCAATAAATGTTTAATAAAATTGTTTGTCCAAATGTGGCCAAATTCAATATTTCCCCATAACTCCTAACTAAACTGGCATCACTGATATAAAAATAAGTGGCTCTTTCTGAACTAGAACCACATAAAACAGACAACTCTCTGCTGGTCTATGAAGCTGTATGTGTGCTAATTTTACTAAGAATCACTGTGCAAACAAAAGACTTCACCATTCAAGGAGATCTGAATTTTCCAAGGAAGCTTAGGAAGCAAGATGCTTCATTTGAAGACTATGAAAGAAAAGCTTAACCAAATACAATATCGGAATAAATAAGTGACGAAACCTTATCCATATGGGAGGATAGACATATGGGAAGTGTCTAACAAGTGCCAAAGAAACTGAAACTCATAGGACCTTTTGCAACAGGTATATTTATAAATTATCTAAAACACACAGAACATTAAAATTTTAATAAATCTTGACTGATTAAAGTTGTTGAAGTGACCAAATGTAGAGTTGTTGAATGATTCGAGTTCAACATAGATACAACTGCGTCATTAGTTAAAAATTACACATTGTGCTGAAAATTTAGTTATCGGATTATTTCAACAAAGAAACCAAATTGCATCCTCAGTTACAACTTACACATTATGCAGAAATTTAGAGTTTAAAATTGACACAAAGATTATTCCAAAACCAAGAATAGCACAATGGTTATCTCATTTCTCATCGCAAATGTTGACTTTTATAAAAACAAAATAAAATAAAATCAATCGAATTGACAACTCACTTATAAACTAACTGTGTCAGAGTTTGTCCGTCCGTTCTTCATGTTATACTTCCCTAAAGTCGTTTTCATCTTAAGTAACTAAAGTCTAGAACAAAGAACAAAAGGCCTAGTTTGTATCCGTTCTCCTCTACTCCGATTTTCTTTCTTTATATTTTTTTTCCTTAGTCAATTCCTCAAACCTTGGCTTCCTCCTCGCATTCTATTACACTCAACACATGATTTCCATGCAGATTCTCCGTTTATTTTCAAAAGCACAGGATTAGACAATTCAACAATCGTGAAATTCCAATTCCAGCATCACCATTCACACACACAGAGCGAGGCATTCAATGAAAATCAGCGAGAATATGATAATGAAATAGCGATATATAAATTGACGGAAGCGAATCGAATAAACGAAAGACACGAAGGAGAGACGGTACCGTGGTGGCGGAGAGAGGAATCGTTGGTCCGGCGACGCCTCCTCCGAAGGGAGGTTTGTTGAGGCTAATTCTCTTCCAAATCCAAAATTAATTGTGAAATCAATCTCACTTTATAACCTAATTTTCACGCTAAAAGCACAGATTCTAAAATATATATATTATTTACATTTATAAGAGAGAGGGCTTGTCCCTGCGTCCTTGCCCAAACCATACCTAGACAAATACAATTCAATTGCCCAAGATTACTATCGATGACTCAGCGCGTATCCTATGAATATCATTCTTATATTTTAATATTAATTAATTAATTAATCGGTTCTAAGGTAATTCAATTCATTTGCTTGCATTACAACGCGTCTGTGGATTGCTTATGCCACCAGTAAGAATAAGCCAATGCGTTTGACTTTTTCAAGTTATCATAAATTTATAATTATTTTTACTTAATTTTTCATTATTAATTACTAATGCAATAAAACAAACAATCATATTGAAAAATAATTAATTAATATTAATTATAATTTGTATATAGTCGCTATATAATATATTTTGTAATAATCAATATTTATTTTTGTTTGTTGAGTATTAAATATATTCCATATGATTATAGTTACATATGTTTAAATCATATGTTTAATATGATTATATTATATTACATTTATTCATCTCTTTTCTTTTAATTCTACTTCCATTTCCATTGAGAAAGTTGCATATTCTAGTCTATTTTATTCCCTACATGCCATTGTTCAAACGATTATAGTTATTCTAAATTCATGTTTGAACTCAAGATGGGTTTGTTTGGACATGGAGTTGGAAGGAAATAAAATAAAAATAGAAAAGAAAAGTATAAGAGAAGAAAAAATTAATAAAAAATAAATTATTTTTGGTAATTTAAATTTAAAAAAAGGTTGAAATTTATCTTCATATAATTCCCCCATATTTTACTTTTGGATTGATAGGAACACTAGGATCAATCTAACAACACGTTGCACAATATTAAGATAAAAAATGAGTTAAGCTAAATTAAATTGAGTTTGATTTGGTTTGATTTGTCTTGATAATACTTAGCTAAACTTGAAGTTTGTTTTTAATTTAGTATGAATTTTTTTTTTTCTAATTTGTTAGCAGATTAGTTTGGTTTATTAGTTTAAATTATATGAACTAAGAGTCAATTTTTTTAAAATCTTATACGTTTTAAAATTTCAATTTATTGATAGAGTTTAGATAAAATAATTGTTTGATTTATTCTGAAAAAATAAAATATAATTTATTCTATTAGCTTTATAAGATTTTAGGTATAACTAAAAAAAAACAATTACAACCAAAATTTACATAAATATAAATCACTTTACCTTGCATAATATATATATATATATATATATAATCTATAATCATAAAATTTTAAGCCGTTAACTTCTTTTATTATTATTAAAATTTTGAATTTTTTTTTTAAATTTTAATAAGCTAGAACTAATAGAAGAAAAATTATTTAAATTATATATTTATATATTGAGTCGATTTATAAATTAAACAAATTAAGTTATATATAACTCAAATTTGATATACTTATTATTTATCAAGTTTAATTTTTAATTTGTTTAACTCATTTAATTTATGAAACAAGTTTATTAAATTAATTATCAAATTAAATTTTAAACTATTTTCAAGTTTGTTTAGTTCATTGTTATTCTTAAGTAATATGTATATGATTATAAATTTTTTATTATTGTTACTGTAATTTTGAATAAAAAATTGTTAATTTAATAGGATGATTGTAGGGAAGAAGTGAGCTTCATTAAATAAAAAGAGAGAGACGTGAGCATAAATTGGTTTTTAATATAAAATAGAAATGTAGTTTAAATTTTTTTTCTCAATTTTTAATTAGATAAATAATTTTCTACTTTTTAATGTATTTATTTAAATTATTTAAAAAAAAAACTTTTTTAACAACTCTTTAATAATTCTCAAAAGTCACTATTCAAAAATTATTTTTAAGATAAATTAATTTTTTAATATGTAAAAGTGGTCCATTATTGACATTTTAATATTACTAATAATGGAATGTTCTGTTGATAGTGACATTGAAATCATTAAAAAAAAGAAAAAAATTAACTATCATATTAGTATAAAATATCTATAATTAAAAATAATAAGTGTATTATTTGTATCGCGAAACCGAGTTTAAGCTCGACACTAAAGTGTTAAACAGCATCGAATGAGCGTTACTTGACATGGCCAGAATGAAGGTCCACTATCTGAACGGGTCATAACCGACCTCAGGCTCAAGGCCCAGATAAATCCTAATTGTACATGCATTATATATATGAGACTCATACACCCACATATACTAATTTTAACATCGAAGTCTCTTTTACAGGTACTACTCCACTTCAGAACAACTGATGTACCTAGCGAAGGAGGCTCACCAATCTTGCCCAGTAGATCGTCCTCTACGACCGATCTCCGGTAAGAACAATAAGTAATGATTAACTTCTTTTAAACATCGTAAACACACAAAATAAATATTTCTCGGAATATTTTATTTTATATATAAAGTCAAAATTTAAAATTTGAGAAAGAGGTACCGCTACAGGTTGAAAAACAAATTTTTGCAGTGAAATCGTTAACTAGAAACCGAATAATGAATGAAGAAAAATGCTTAACTCCGAAAACTTGTTCCGAAATTTGATCTGAATGAATAAAAAATTGATTTAAATAATAAAATATTAAATTAAATAATTATTTTATAATAAATTTATTTAAAAATATTAATATGTTATTTGTTTGGACGCTGATTCGGAATTTCGTTTAGAATATATAGCAATGCTCATGAATGAATATGTTGTCAGTACCGGATTTTGACACAAAATTACTAGTATTCAGGAATAAGCCGAAACACTCGCAAAAGAAGATTAAACGATTCCAGTAAGAGACGCTGCTGTTCATCAACACCAGAGGACACACTTATTTTATATTGTTTACTAAAGTGATAATATCTAGACATATATACTTTATAAAAAACTAAATAACATTTCTTATTTCTCATTTTATTATTATTTTCATTATTATATCACATCATCAATAATCATATTGATGAGAAAAAAGATATTTGAACAATACAATAATTGATTATGAGTGTGATAAATAGAAAAAATGAAAAAAAATAAATTTAAAACGTACCGATAGAGTGTTTTATTTATTTGGTTGTCTAAAAATTGTCATCAATTTATGGAAGGAAAGATAATAACAAAGAAATCAAAGAGGATAAAATGAAATAGAGAAAAAAAATGATCAATATTTTATTTTAGAAAGAGAATTAGTATATTTTTAACTATATATGGTAATATTCGAACAATCACATAAAAAGAAAAATAACACATAATAGAAATATAAATGGTAATAATGTACATTGAATATGGATATCTACTAATTAAGTCACCAATTATTATTCAAAACATTCTCCGTGCTTTATTAAAATCTTACTAAAAAAAATCTTATGAGAAAAAATCTAATAAAAGAAAAAAGTACATCATTCTTTAATACAATATCATATATTGTTTCATTAAAAATCTTGTCAAAAAAACCTAGTGGGACAAAATGAAGGGAAAAATAGTTCACAATGTCTCCCTCTTATTCAGACAATCATCTCACTACAAGGAAATTGCCATATAGTGACACACATCCTATAGGGACACAATATGTGTCACTAAAAATTACTTTTACCTATATAATAAATATAATATATGTTGGTATATTGTTAAAAAATGTGAGTATAAGCTATAGTAACACACAAAATATGTTGTTAAATCTCATTCAAAATCAACACTAAAATTCTATTTAGTTATATGCCAAATAGATATATACCTACATATATTATACTTATAGTGATATTTTTTGTTTATTATAGTGCTCTAAGATGAAGAAGACCAATCTTGTATATCAATTCTCAAAAATTGTACTTGACAATGATTACAAGTTAAAATTAACTTGAGAAAAAATGTTTTGTTCCATCTCCTTTAATGCATTCTTCTTTCAACCAAATAATAGATGTAACATTCTCTCATGTATGACTATATCACCACATGTAAACAAATATTTCATTTGTGATTTATCATTATGAGAATTTAACCAAAAATTTCTTCTAAGATAATAAAAAATATTATTAACTTCGTTCCAACAATTTCACGTAAATGAATAACTATATCTTGCAAGTAAAATAATAGCAAATTATATATTAAGTGATTTATAATTAGCAAGCTAAAATATATTAGTAATCGCATAATACTAAGATATGGTACTTCAAGACCAAGTAACACTTTATCTTTCTTCTTGATAACTAAGAGCATCTCCAATGGGGGTTGCTTATAAGCAACCCCTGTGCCACATCACTGCCACATCATCTCTAGCCCACTTTATGGGTTGCTTAAATTTTAGCAAAGTTGCTTGTAGGATCTTTGTCCACATCTAAAGATTTGGGATCATTGGAGTGCACAACAAATGTGATTTCTCCATATAATTTTTTTAAAACATCTTTATCATATAAAGTTATTAATGCACAATAAACTCCACAATTTAAATATTTAAATTGTAATAATAAGCAAAACTTTGTATCTTACTAAAAAAAATCTTATGAGAAAAAATCTAATAAAAGAAAAAAGTACATCATTCTTTAATACAATATCATATATTGTTTCATTAAAAATCTTGTCAAAAAAACCTAGTGGGACAAAATGAAGGGAAAAATAGTTCACAATGTCTCCCTCTTATTCAGACAATCATCTCACTACAAGGAAATTGCCATATAGTGACACACATCCTATAGGGACACAATATGTGTCACTAAAAATTACTTTTACCTATATAATAAATATAATATATGTTGGTATATTGTTAAAAAATGTGAGTATAAGCTATAGTAACACACAAAATATGTTGTTAAATCTCATTCAAAATCAACACTAAAATTCTATTTAGTTATATGCCAAATAGATATATACCTACATATATTATACTTATAGTGATATTTTTTGTTTATTATAGTGCTCTAAGATGAAGAAGACCAATCTTGTATATCAATTCTCAAAAATTGTACTTGACAATGATTACAAGTTAAAATTAACTTGAGAAAAAATGTTTTGTTCCATCTCCTTTAATGCATTCTTCTTTCAACCAAATAATAGATGTAACATTCTCTCATGTATGACTATATCACCACATGTAAACAAATATTTCATTTGTGATTTA